ATATATATATATATATATATATATATATATATATATATATATATATATAAGAACCACTGACAACAGTGAAAAGAAAAGAACGCTTCTTAAGACTTCCATTAAAATGAGGTTACAAGTCTGAGCTACTATGACACCAACTGGAAAAGGCCATCGCTCGTACATTTCCTACTACAACTCTGCGTACTCATTTCACAAGCCGACGAATGGTCTCCGTAAATCTTAAAGATGCATTGTCTATCCTCTCCTCATTTATGATCATTTACCATTTTCTTTGCTCATGTTCGGCAAGTTATGTAGGAAGAACGATCAGGCAATTGTCTCATAGAATCAAGGAGCACAAGCCGGCGTGACTGAGTACGGGGATAAGGAAAACGATTGCAAATGCAGTGGTAGAACACCTTACAGATACGGGTTATCAGGCAAACCAGGTGATCTACAAAGTACCAGCAAACCCATCAAAAGCTGTTCGTCAACGACACCCTGCTACAGCCGAGGCGGTGGCTGTTCGCCTACTCAACCCATCGCTTTGTTCTCAAAAGCGGTTCGTTCAGTCACTTCGCTTACCCTGGCCTCAATCTGACCGAAACGACCGTGACCTTTGTCATGACCCAGGGGCGCAGACCGGAAATGGAACAGCTCACTCTATTCACCGACAGCGACCATTTCCAAACCACACATCACAAGATCACAATCGACCAATCGTATCCATTACATCTGACCATTACACTAATTTGATAATTTTGAACCCTATATATAACTGTATTAGCCCGAAGAGGAAGTTTTCGAAAACAAGCATTGTTCGCCACGTTTCTTCGTAAATATAGTTATATTGTTACGTTTTAATGCAAGGATGCAAGAATGCCAAATTTGGTCTAATATATTACCGATCAGTCTTATTTAGACCGGCGTTCATTTTAACCGGCACGTGATTCAAACTTGGCTGCTTTTTTGTGTACTATCGGCATCTGTTGACTTATAACCCTATCAGCATACCAATTTCAATCGGCATCTTTAATTGTCCTCAAGATGAATGGTGATCATAAAACACGCAAACGAAGGTCCGAAGCAAATGGTGTGAATTTCGCATTTGAGAAAGATTTCGAGACCGAGTCTAGGGGTGTCAAAGAAACGCAGTGGTACAGCGGTATGGACGAAGCGGAAAACGATTTTCCCTACACGTTTGATGACACCGAAAACTTACAGTCACCCACAGCGGACGCTGATCGATTGAGCTGTTGGAAACAGTGTGCACATGGAGTTCGATGTAAGTTTACAAATTGTATTTATTTATTCAATGCATTCATCTTTATAATTATCTCACTTCCCCATCATATTTCACGAATGGGAGCCATCCAAGTATAAAAAGCTACCTTGAAAACCATCGGAGAGAACAAACAATGACTGTGGAACGGGGTTCGATCACACGGTCTCAAGAAAAGAAACAAAAGTAGCTCGAACTGCTTTAAACGTTCATATAAGGATCGTTCTTTAACGCAGAGCATTCATTCGACCTAAACCAAAAACCTTGAAAAAATAGGTATAACCTGAGATTATAACATCCAATTCAATTTCCAATTTCTTTTAACCTCAGGTATTCTCAACATACCTCAAACTAAATGCTTCAAAACAAGTAGTTAAAACATACATACATCCGGAGTTTGAAACAAATTGCCATACGGTTAAATGTATGGAAAAGTATTGAAACTCAGTTCTTGTAATTTCTCGGATGAAGTGAATTTCAATAGAATCAGGTTTGTTTTTGGCCACAACGTGAATACCAAAACACAAGATTTCGGTGACAACATTTCGACCTTCTTGGAAGGCCTTTGTCAAGTTAGTTTAATCGGTTTCTCGAAAACACAAGCTTTAAGGTGAAAATCGCGGCGTTCAACGTTGACCTAAAAACGGGGTCAAGTGCGTGTATGTGTGGACGTGTGCGTGTGTGTGTGTGTGTAGGTGTGTGTATGTTGGATTCGGATTATCATTAGCGCTCTGTGGGATCTGCACCTATTGTGTGATCTGCGTTGGTGTGTGAATCTGTGTGTGAAAACAATACACGAGAAGTCAAGTGGTTTGTTGGGGCAATGACGAGAGCGTCACACCAGGCCACTGACAAATCAGTCCCCTCCGTGCGGTTGACACATTTAGCTTCAGTCTTAATCCACAAAGTTTCTTTGTGGCTACGAAAACCTTATCTCAAAATCTTGACAATTTGTTTACCAATGTTTCATTCCACCAACCGAGGTGACATCGTCAGCGTTTGTGAAGTAGCAGTGTTTTACTCCGGTACCCGTTCGTTTATATTTGTTAGCTGTTTAAATGATGGGGATGAGAGAGATCTGTTCTTCCGTCCTGATTTCGAGTCAGTGAAAATAATCGACCAAGCTTGGTGAAAACACACCAGAGAATTTTTCGATACTTGGCACCCTTCAATCAATTCAGTGAATGGACACATGGAACTGGATCACGTGTACATGCCAATACAACTCAAGAATCAAATGACGCAACAAATAGTCGCATTATGATCTGACAGCGTACCAAAAAGTACAAACAAACGGGTATAAGCAGAACACTGTCACTTCACAAGCATTACAGATGACACCTCGGCTGGTGATGACACGTTTGCAAGTAAACTACCAAGCTCGGCGAACAGATGAAATGGAGCCAGTTGTTTATTAAGAGCGTCCACTGCCTAATATGAAGCCGTAGTGATGTAAAAGAGAATGTCCTTGATGAACTCAGGAACCGAACATACCAGTCACGTGACACCAAAATCTGTTTACTTGAATCGTGACTAGAAGAAAAAGCTCCTGTTCAGATTTCTTTACCCCAGACGGATAGCACGGAAAACAAGATCAACCATTCGAGGTAGGCCTTCCCCTGGTGGTAACTTTCCATGGCTCAATGCAACACCGAAACTAATGAAACTATCAGCGTGTTCCAACAGACTGTCAAGTCACGGCCCCGATACACATTCATGGTTGAACCATGTCTGAATATGTATGGTGCAGGGAGTCTATCTATCCAAGTGTGGATATCCACGGAAATGCACAGAAATCGGTCCTTTTTATCGAGACATCATTGGCTATCCTGGAGTTTATTGAATTGTGACCTGAACTGCGAGTCCCACACTTGGCTGTACAAAACCTGTAGTGGAAAAGATACTACGTATACGAATAATAATGAAATAAACGGTACAAGGAACG